TTTAATTTCTGATTACTTGCCAAAAGAAATTAAAGTAAATTAAAGGACAAATTGTTGATAGTTCAAGGCTCTTCAGCCTGAGAACCACAATGTGTCCATACAGATAAAACCAACAAGCAAATTATTGTCACACTTCAAAAATAATATAATTGTGCATGTATTTAGGTGATTTGATTATTGCAATAATTTCAAAATAGTAGCTCCAATTAATAGAAACATGTTTAATGCTCAAATTTTTAAGGCCACCTCCCAAACTCCATCTGGTTATCTCCATTATCATCTCTGTTATCTCCAAAAGCCAGTTACCTGATGATCGCAGTAAGCAGAAGGCTGAGATTGTTCAAGCAAACTTTCTACAATCACGTTCGGGTGACCAAGGGTCTGGCCGCAACCAGATGTACGCCCGTGAACTTTCTTCTACAGAAGATCTAGGAACCCTGACATATTAGAATTTCAAAGCAAGTCAAGACCTGCACAGGTGACAAATCACCCAATTATTCAATGGAGAGTTATTTTAACAGGACTAGACTGTCTAAATAATTTTAAAGAAAGTTTTGGAACGGATGTTCTAAGTGTCCAAGGACCTAAATAGAAAACAACGCTTGTGGTTGGCAAGGAACTTAAATTTTATCTAAATATGAAAAGTTACCTAAAAAGGAAGCCAGCTAAGCTGTTTACCAAATCATTCACAGGACTATGCCTGTCATTTGGCTGTGCTTTGAACTTAGTTTGTAAACAGTGTCCAAACTGGGCTAAAAGAGGGCAGAGTGCCAGTTTCAAATGGCACCGAATTTCAAAATGTGCAGACTTGCATCATTCCAGTTACATCCCTTTGAGGCTGTGTCTCTACTGACTGAGGAGCTAATCTCCATACCAGAGAATTCCCATCCACCCTGCTGTGATCTGCTTTTTCCCAGGGGCAGAGCTTCACTGGTGCCCAGGCCAAGCTGATGCTCCACAAGCACAAAAGTCATGTAATTTACCATTCAATGATTTGCTCCACAAAGAAGCTCTGTCCTTCAGTGACAGAACAACCACACAATGATCCATCTGCCTGTTAACACAGGTGAAGAAAAGGCAATACCACTCATCTAAGCAACCTACCAAGTATCAGGACACAATTTTTCTGTCACATAGTCTGGTGGCCTCTTCATCTTTTCAGACTGTTACTGAAATTGTGTCATATCTAACTGCAGGATAGCTGCCATTATTAAGGATTAAAAAATAAATGTACTTCAGCCTGAAAATATAAGGACTAAATTCTTTCCCACTCCATAACAATTAGTATTCTCAAATAACATGTCTTCGATATAGGAATATTTGGAGTTATAGCCTTCATTCCTTTTCTACCTTCAATAATAAAAACAGATATTAATAGCAGATAATTAAAACATACTTCACAGATTGCAACTAGTTCATGAATATATTTGACTGTGCACTCTGGGAAGTCTCCTGAGAAGTAAGAGTGTCTCAGTTTTGCTGAATATGATCCTTACAGGTAATGGGCCAATTTCTGCACGTGGATTATCTTTACTAACACTCTTAAGTTACTCCTGCTCTCACCTAACCATGTAGACATGGGTTAGGGTGGTGTTCCTCAACCTTTTTAAAATTTTTCATGATAGTCCCTTTGGGGAGACTTTTTAAGAGTTTTGTTCCTTTAATACCCTGCCTCGGAAATTTTAATACCACAGATATACTATCTACCTATTTACGTATTTTATATACATCTGTGCTGTATATTTAAAAACAGTAAAATATTTGTGTCCCCCCAAAAGCCATCTTTACATACTGGGGAAGATATCATGGCCATTGCAAATGCATTTATTATGTAACTTACTTATATTTTTTAAAATGGAAAACACATGGTTATTTAACTTGGGCTTACTTAAAATTCTAGCTATGCTTCAAACAACTGCACAAATCCACACCCAGTTTTTGTCTTCTGCATCACCCACTTAAAACTATTCTCTTCAACACATCTATTACTAACAAAATTATATTGTTCATTTATTTCTTTACTTTTTTATTATCCATCTATTCCTCACTGTAATTTAAGTTCCAAGCAAACATGACCTTGTCTGCATTGTTCAACATTGTATATCCAGCCCTCAAAACTGTCTGACATTCTGCAGGCACAGGACAATATTTTGGGGATAAGTAAAATAAGTCAACATTTCCTAAACTTAATTTTCCATGGAGCCATTTTTCAAGTTAATATATGTTAACACTATGGGAGAATAATGGGGAAATCCCTATAGCAGCAATTTAAGGAACTACTCTTATGTCCAAATAGAGTATCAAGTCACTTCCATGATTGGGTTGCTTATTTTTCCTCCAAACATCTTTCTTACCCATGTGTCAATTTCTTTGAAATGCAACAATTCATTGTGCATTTCCTGAGCCCACTGCATCCCACTTTTCACGATATTCATACATCCGTGGGAAAGAGATTAGCAGATGGCTTGTGCCTGACACAAGAGGAATCAGGAGAGTGAGTAATTTGGGAAGTAGAGGTCAAGGAAGAGCTGAAAGAAAGAAAAAGCCCCCACACCAAAAAAATAAGGGGAGAAGACTCAAGAGAATCTTCACAATATGGCCAGCCATCAGTTCTGTATTTTTATATTTTTGCATCATGCTAGCAAGGTGTATTGTGAAATAGGAAGAGTAGAGGAGGCAAAATCTAAAAGACTTGATGTGTTACTTAACCTCATTGAGTCTCATTTTTTTCTTGTGTAACATGGTGTGAAGACTTATCAAATAATACTGTGGCTGCACTAAGAGAGTTAAACTATGTAAGAAACCTAACAAAATATATGCCTAGATGGCCTTCATGATGGTTAGCTCACAATAATGCCTAATATTTTCACTGAATTAAATGTCCATATTAAACCAAAGTATCCTTATACAATATATTCAAATATTATTTATCTTACTAATTTTTAGGAGAAAACATTCTTAGGAGAAAAATTTTTAGGAGAAAAACTTCTTTTGCTTTATTTGTAAGCACCAGAAATAATGAGATGACAGTTAGTCCTCATGAGAGATTCGCAATGATGAGTACAAAGGAACATCTTAACATTTCCTTAAATTATTTACAAACCACCAAGACTCCATTCCATGAGAACATTACTGTTACTTACATTTCTTCCTTTACTTCCTGTACCTTCCAAGTTTGCTGTTTACAATTTATAGTTTGTGTCTCTTTAATCTTCTCACTCCTCCACTGAGCACATGGTATAGCCTCTAAGATGCAATCATTGTCCTCAGTTTCCCTCTTCCAATCCTCCCTTCTGACTCAGAACAGAAGTGACATCTTCTCAATACTTCTCCTGTTCTTATCCCTGGCTAATCCTCATCTCTTGTCTAACAACCATAAGACAAAATGAGCCATAAATCATTCAGTCTAGATTCCGTTGAAATGTTTAATTCTCACCAACAATTGCAAACTTGATCATTTTTAATAGATTAATTGCTGATTATACCATCGTCCTGGCCTAGACTTTGTGGGAAAAGGTTCTATTTCTTATGAATTTAAGACATCCATGCATAAGCTGGAACATACCAGTCACCCTAAAAAATAAGTGTTTTTATGCTTTATCATTACTGTATGGTCAACTTACTAAAGAAATAGCTCCAGATGACCAGGCAGTTTGAAAAAGGGACATTTGTGAGAATTAGCATGACTTGGAATATGATAGTCAGAGAAGCTTTGATTCATAAAGTGTTCCGTAGTAATGTAGAATAACCTGGTGTTTTCCATGTACATAGAGGAGCTTTAAATAAATTGCTAAATGTGAGATAAGGCTACAACGAATTTGGCATTATTGCTTTTGAAGGATAAAGTGAGCTATTAAATCTACTTATAAATTTCTTTTCTATAGAGATGTAAATATACCAAAAATCTATGTTTTATTTGAAGAAAGCAGGACTGAGATTTGGAGAACCTGGATTCTAACTGTGTGGCTTAAACTCTTAGATGTATGACCCAAGGCAGTAAGATAGTAAATCTCTCTTTGTTTCAATTTGCTTTTCTGTAAAATGGGGACAGTAATATTGAAACTGCTAATTTAGTACATGAATTAACTCACCTAACTTAAGCAAATGTGTCCTATAGATAATAAAATGCTCATTTAATGTAAATGTATGTATCACACCTATAGGGCAATAGCCTTGGAAACTTGCAATGTGCCCTTTTGTTGAGGTCAAATAAAAGAATGTTTACCCTTAGTGTTTCAAATGGTTCCTCAAGTCTTGGTAAGGAAAAAAGAAAAAAACTTTCTTTACATTCAAGAAAAACTGTGAGCCGTGAGGGTATTTTAGAAAATAAGAACAAATTAAGAGTAATTTTCAAAAATTTTGGCATAATTTTTGTACCAAGGAAAAAATTGAGAGGTAGGTTATGAAATGTTTCTTTTTTCCTTTTGTGGGTGTCTCTCTTTTTGCTTTTGGTAGACTCACAGTTCCCCTCTCAACCAGAAAAAAAGTAAAGAAAACAGAAAAGAGAATCAACAGTGGTTTTTTTCACTTCCTAACTGTTCACCTTCCATATATCCATCTAGGGATTTCTAGCCTCTTTCTTGCTTTACCACAGGCCAAGCAAAAATTACAGAGTTCTCAGATCAAGATGCTATGGAAAAGCCAATTTCACCCTAGTGAAATATGTGTGAAAAAATTTAATAAAGTAGCAATGAGACTCTGGAGAAAAGCGTATTCTAGAATCATCAAACTACGAATTTATAGTTGTTCTCTCCATTGCATATCCAGAATCTATGCACACAAACATTGAAGCCTTGGTAAAGTATACCAAAAGGTATCAAAAGCACCTAGTAAAAGCCCTATCCACCATTAAGTGCTCAATAATTGTTAGTTTCTGGGATTTGCTTATTTGTTTGTTTGTTTGTGTGTTTTGCCAATGATCTGTAAAATTTGTTAATTCTCTTGCACAGTTATTGGCAGATATAATCCTGCCTATTTATATACATCTTCACTTTCTGGCATTATGAACAGGCTACCATTACTCTCATCTTCAACAAACTCCTCATGGCATTTTTCACCTCTGCGTTTCTAACTGTATAAATTATAGGATTTAATGCAGGGGTAAGGATTGCAAAGAACACAGTCACCAACTTGTCCACAGGGTAGGTGACCACAGGACGCATGTAGGTGAATATACAAGGCACAAAAAAGAGTACAACAACGGTAAAGTGGGAGCCACATGTGGATAGGGCTTTATGCTGTCCTTCAGAGCCATGAAATTTCAAGGAGCTGAGGATGACTATGTAGGAAATGAGTAGCATGGAAAAAATGAGCAAGCACATAGCTCCACTGTTGGCGGCCACTACCATTCCAAGCCTGTAGGTGTCGCTGCAGGCAAGTTTCAACAATGGGAAGAGATCACACATGAAGTGGTCAATGACATTGGGACCACAGAAGGGCAAGTTGACCATGAAAAGAATCTGTACCATGGCATGTAGGATGCCTCCAATCCAGGCTACCACCACCAGGAGGTGGCAGAGCCCCTGTCGCATGATCCACAGGGTAGGTGACCACAGGACGCATGTAGGTGAATATACAAGGCACAAAAAAGAGTACAACAATGGTAAAGTGGGAGCCACATGTGGATAGGGCTTTATGCTGTCCTTCAGAGCCATGAAATTGCAAGGAGCTAAGGATGACTATGTAGGAAATGAGTAGCATGGAAAAAATGAGCAAGCACATAGCTCCACTGTTGGCGGCCACTACCATTCCAAGCCTGTAGGTGTCGCTGCAGGCAAGTTTCAACAATGGGAAGAGATCACACATGAAGTGGTCAATGACATTGGGACCACAGAAGGGCAAGTTGACCATGAAAAGAATCTGTACCATGGCATGTAGGATGCCTCCAATCCAGGCTACCACCACCAGGAGGTGGCAGAGCCCCTGTCACATGATAGTCAGGTAGTGCAGGGGCTTGCAGATAGCCACATAGCGGTCATAGGCCATGACAATGAGGAGGATGATCTCTGATCCTCCCAGGAAGTGCTCCACAAAGAGCTGAGTCAGGCAACCACCCAAAGAAATTGTTCTCCTCTGGTAGAGCAAGTCAATAATCATTTTGGGGGTGGTGACAGAGGTGTAGGAGGCATCTATGAAGGACAAGTAAGTGAGAAAGAAGTACATGGGAGCTGAAAGTGTGGGACTGAGAGAGATGGTGATGGCAATGAGCAGATTGGCCAGCACAGTAAATAGGAAAATGAACAGAAACACAATGAAGAGTATTTTCTGCAAGTGTGGATTCTGTGTGAGTCCCAAGAGAATAAATTCAGTCACATTGCTCGGAGGCGTGAGGTGATCCATTCAGGATGTAACACCCTCCTGGAGCCTGAATTACCTACAAAGAGATAAAGAAAGCTAAATCAATCATGAAAAGATTATAATTGTGATTTCATAGTACAAAGATAGTGCAACTGCAGAGTATGTCCTTGCACGTCTCACCCCAATAATTGCTTCAATTATTCTTTTTCACTTCCTCCGTGATGTTTTCAGTCTCTTCACATACCTATTATCTGTCACCTCTAAAATATCTACAGGGCAACAGTTAATATATAATTTAGTGAGAAAATACTGAGCTATGTACGTGAGATCTGGATTCTCCTGGTTCCAACTCCATGTGACTTTGTTAAGTCACTAAGTGCTAAGTGCCCCAGTCTTTGGAGTCCTCCTCTGTATCCACAAGCTTACAAATTTACCTTTGAGATGTATTTCGTAAGCTGTAAAATGCTACATATAGTTGAGGGTTATTCACTCTTCCCGGAGAATTTACATTTGAACCCACACCTCTAACTGTGAAGAAAAGACACAGTCAAGAAATATCTACTGTAAGCAGGCAGATTGGGGAATGTGTAAGTGGCTGGAGACATACTCTCCCTGGTATCTACCATAACACACGTGTTGTTTATGTTTGTTTTTTTGCTGTGCTTCTTTCAGTGCTGGCATAGTGTCTACAGTGTCTGGCACCTCTTACGTGATGAATAAATGTTTGGTGAATTGCCACACTTCCTACATCTCCATATGTAAGAATACACATGCTTTCCAGCCCATAAACCTAGGAATTCAACTACTCTTCTCCTCCCACTCTCTTTATCCATGCTCTCTACTTTATGAAAAACATAAATCAACTTTTAAAAGGAAGTATATTCCAGTTTAATAGTTTCTAGCATATTTTATAGGATGAGTATAACCATATGTAAGAATACACATGCTTTCCAGCCCATAAACCTAGGAATTCAACTACTCTTCTCCTCCCACTCTCTTTATCCATGCTCTCTACTTTATGAAAAACATAAATCAACTTTTAAAAGGAAGTATATTCCAGTTTAATAGTTTCTAGCATATTTTATAGGATGAATATAAGACATTAATTACCTCTAGGAAAGAGTATCTTACTGCGTAATTTGACTTTTAAGATAATTATAACATTGCCTAATTAATATTGTTCATTCTTCAAAATTATGATCCACATACGATTTAACATAGTCCCACTCTAAATTTATAGCTTCAATAGACTGGAATAATAATCTCTTGGACAGGTTTTTCAATCCACGAAGATCTATCAAGTAAAGGAAAATCTTATTTTCAAAATCTTAAAAATAGAAATTTAATGTGGGGAACAGAAAGAAATAGACTATTAGATAATATAAAGTATTATACATACATATACACACATACACAAATACAACCATATATAAAATCTAGTAATGACTTTAAGTAAGTACCTGTTACTTACACATTCACTCACTCAATAAATATTTACTGGACCTGTCCTACGTATGAGAGTTCTTCAAAAAGTTCATGGGAATATTGTATTACCTTGTAATTCAATTTTTCCATGAAATTTTTGAAGTACTCTTGTGTATTAGCATATGTTTGTCTATACAAAGTCATAAAAATGTCGCTGTCAAATGTCTTTAGTAATCCCTGCCCACACATTTTATTATCACACAGCCCTAACTCACCCATCCACAAGATGAATGATGAATCATCACCCCTACGCTTTTGTTTCTGCGATATACATTCTTATGCCTCCTTCTCCCATCCTCCCACAAAATCCATTATACTTCACTTTTGGTTAAAGGATATCGCATTGTTAATAAGGTCAGGAAAATCATCCCAATTTGGAGACATAGGTCTCCCAACGAAACAACAAAAAAAGAAAACATAAATATAACAAAATATATTCTGTGCAAAATATTTTTTCCTTTCAAAGGTAAAAGGATAAAGGGCTCTATTTTTTAATTATCCAAAATGAAAATATTATACATACATGAAAACAAAGTACAGCAGCTTTATTGAACTTCCTTATTCTGAGGTTGCCTCCCAAACAGATCTGAAAAGAGCATGTTGTGCAAAAAGTAAAAATAAAACATAATTAATAAAAGCAATTTAGATATAACTATGAAAAACATAAACTGCTTTGTCTTTTTTCCTCGTGGTAATCTTTCCAGGAATAAATCCTAAAGAAAAATATTTTAAAAAGAGAAAAATCATTATATACAAATGTATTCAGCATGATTATTAAGAGCTGTGGAGAATGAGAGAAACAGATAAGTAAAATATAGTCTTTCTCTTGGAATAAGGTATAGCTTTTAACAGAGATTTTTTTTAAACTTGTGCGATATTATAGAAAAATTCTTATGTTGTAATATTAAATGGGGAAAACTCGGATGCAAATTTGAATGTATAATATGAGCCTATTTAATTTAAATATATGTCAGTGGGAAAAAAGATTCCAAAATATTTTTACTTCTAAATTAATGGGATTATAGCTGATTCTATTTTTCTTGATAAATGGACTTAAACTTCAGGTTGGTTGAGATGAGGGGTGATTCTATGATCTTTAAGTTCCATTAATCCTGAGATTCTATAATTCCATGATTTCCTTTTAAAAACAAAAACAAAAACCTCACCTATCAACTTGTCTGACATAGCTCCATGGCCAGGACCCCAGGCAGCTGTTAGTTCGCAAAAAAAGCTGCAAGATTAAAAACGCCAACTAGCCCAGCCACAGTAAGTCTTTGTTGACATAAAAATGGCAAGTTTGGACAACGCCTTTCTCCCGAGCCTCACAAGGGCTACCACATATCCTGTTTGCAGGCAACTTCTTTGAAGTTTCTTAGCTGTGGCTAATGAGACCTCGGGGGTATTTCGCTATCATCAGCAGATCTTGCCAACAACCCAATTATTTCATGTTACTTAACTGAACATCAGAGAAGAACTTTTACAGAATTTATCTTTAATTTTTTAAGTCCAGTTAATGACAAATCAGTGTGTCAAGACAAAAAATGAAACAGTTGACAACTTATGAATTTGGATATCTGATAACAAATGAACTTAGTATAGAGTCTGAGTATTTGGTATTGTATAAATTATTTAGTTGGGTAATTATCTGACTTTTATATTTTTATTATAATATTTTCTTTCTTTATCAACCTATCCTTCCTGGTTATCATAAATTTTAAATATTGTTCTCAGATGTACATTAAGTGATAGTTATAACCCCTATTATGATAGTGTAGTTTACAGTACTTCGATGCAGTTTTTTCTCATGCCAATTCTAGAATTAGCTTAAGATGATAATGCTAAAAAATAATTACATTCCAGAGTAGTAAAGTACATTTATTTCAGCCCTTTAAATTTAATCTAATGATACCCCTATAGAGTGGGGAAAAGGCATCAGCATTCCCACTTCATAACATTGAAAACTAAGTCAAGGAATCAGAACATTGTCTGCCAAGGCAAAATAAGAAGCTAAGCCTCCTAAATCCTGGGCCAGGGTCCTTATCCTTAGATTATTGTTTTGCAACTAATGTGTCATGCCACGTTTATGCTATCACCAATTGTGAGGTATGTCAGGATCATATACTAAAAGAAAACATACCTATATTTGAAATTATTTTTAAAAACCAATTGAATTCAGAATAGCAGCCTGTGTCTGTTTTGTTCACCTCTTTTTCCCCAGCACTTGCTTCAGTGTCTGATTCATAAAGATTTTCATAAATATTAAGTCAGTAAATGTGTTGGAAGACCTTTTACTTATTTCCTGTATGTTTTCTTTTTTCCAGCTAACTACGAAAAGGAGTGCTCATGATCTTCCTTGGAAAAAAATTAAATAAAGTGTTAGAAAGTGGACTATATTCCTTTCACCCCTTCAGATCTGCTCACTCGTCTCCACCCCTAGTGTCTTCTTCCATGGTGGGCTTCAAGCAGCTTCCTTACCTCTGGCCAACAGGTGGTGCCAGCTGAATGTTAGAGGTCAAGGAGGGAAGAAGAGGACATCGGGTATTTCTTTTCCTAGTTCTCTCCTATGGTTTGTCAATGACTGGGTGCCTTCTACAAAGGCTGTACCTTTGAGGGTGGATCTTTCCTGCAGCTGCAGTTCCAGCTGGGTTCCTGTAATCACCTTCTTTTTCTGTCTCAGGCCTCCTTGTGTAATAGTTGCCTACTGTTACTCGCCCTGAGGTGCTTTACCATCCTTATTAGTTTCCTTTAACCCTAGTCATAACTTGATAAGTAATCAGTTAAGCCCTCTTTAATCTTTCATTTTGAGTATGCTATTTCTTGTCAGGACTCTGATAGACGCAGAAAGTTTGGATTTTCCCTTTGCAAATAAATAGAAATAAATGAGAAAATGCTTTTCCTTTTATATAAATTTATTTTATTTAAAAATCATCTGTGCTTCTTTTGATATTTATCTGCTAAATATATTTAACTTTTGTCAGGATATTGTGAAAGACTTTAAAATGTGGCATAAAGTTTATTGGATGTCTTCCGTCTGTGTGTTGTCTGTAGAACATCCTTTGTGGTTATATGATTCTGTGGAGTTCATGCCTTTCACTGTCTTTGATCTATTTTACAACTCTAAGTTGCAGGCAACTGAAAATAGTGCAAATAATTCTTGTTCACAGAATTTCAAATGCTGTGTGGTGAAAGTTCAAATGATTTCCCTGACCATTGCATATAAAGCCAGTTTTGCATTTATTCATAAACTCATTACACACCTCTGATTAACAATGTAAGTGTGACCCATTGGATTCTCCTTTAGAACACACAATTTACAGTGAATCAGAAAGGCATTCATTGTGTAAAATAAAATAGACTGTTACCAAAATGTTTAACGTTCATTGTGTTAAAAAAAAGAAAAGTGCTCACAGAGAGTTTAATTTAGTGTAGGCAGAATCTGGGGCTCTACTGTTATATGAATGACTTAAATACATATTTCTACTATTGGAGGAGGCCAATGGATCTAAATATACAGAATGGGTTTAAAAAACTTTTCTGTCCAAAAATTGGTCTGAATACACAAAATCAGCCTTATGCTACCTGGACATCTTCACTCAATCACAGCATAAAGTCGACAAAGTTCATTTCTCATGGTTTTATCCTCAGCTATGAAAATATGCTATAGAATTGTAAACATTTGACCAAGACATTGCTTTTTACTGTCACCTTAACATTTTTTTAACAATCTGAATTTTTAAATTTATAATATCGATCTCTTGGACTACAGGGAGAAAGTTATATTAGGCCACATTTTTATGTGCCAGGGAGGTATCATAGCCCACAAACAAGGATTTGAAATAAAACCAAAAACTGTCCACCAAAGAATCTTAACACATTATAATTGCATATATAACATATCCAACCTATGCAATTGTCTTGGTCTCTAAGGAGTATAATATATTTCACATAGATAAAGATTAATTTATATTGCTGTTTCAGAAGAAATGGGCTAAATAACCAGAAAGGAATGATAAAAATGCAACCACTAGTAGTGAAAGTATTCCTTGCTTCCGTGAAAGAATGAATATCACGTTCCGCATGACAGATACAGACCTCTTCCAATTAAGGTCACTTTTTTACTCCAAAGTTTCTTCATGGCGTTTTTCATTTCTGCATTCCTCAGGGTGTAGATTAGGGGATTCAACATGGGAGTTATGAAAGTTAAAACGACAGTCATGGATTTATCAATGGGAAAGGTGGAATTGGGCCTTGCATACAGGAATATACAAGGGACAAAAAATAAAATAACCACAGTGATGTGGGATGCACAGGTGTAGAAGGCTTTGTGCTTCCCTTCCAAGCCACAGGTATTAAGGGAGTGTAAAATGACCCCATAGGAAACCAGGAGAGTGAAGAAGATGATAGTGCAAATTGTCCCTCCATTGGCGATCATAGATAGTCCGATGAGGTAGGTATTGGTGCAAGCAAGTTTCAGTAAGGGATACATATCACACACAAAGTTGTCAATGATGTTGGGGCCACAGAAAGGGAGCAGATAAATGAAGAGAAATTGAACTAGTGAGTGAAGAAATCCTCCCATCCAAGCCACCAACAGCATGAGAACACACACCCACCGATTCATGATGACCAAATAATGAAGAGGTTTACAGATGGCCACATATCGGTCATAGGCAACCACCACCAGGAGATTGACTTCAGAACCAGCAAATAAGTGGTCTATAAAAACTTGAGTCATACAAGCCTGGAAGGAAATGGTCTTTTTGTCATAGAGCAAGTCTATGATCATTTTGGGAGCAATGGCAGTAGAATAGACAGTATCTATAAATGATAAATAAGCCAGGAAGAAGTACATGGAGGAGCCCAGGGACTGGCTAGCCACGATCGTCACCATGATGAGCAGGTTGCCCATTATTGTCACAATGTAGATGAGCAAGAATATGACAAATAGAACCTTTTGCCCCTCAGGGTTCTGTGTGAGCCCCAGGAGAATAAACTCAGTTACATTGTTCCTATTTTCCATGTGTTCTGAAGGTGCTGAACTCAGCTGTCAGAGCCTGCAAAGGAAAGGGCAGATAATGAATTGGAGACGATTGCAAGCTCCGCATCAAAAACGTGATGTTTTTCTCAACAATATTTCTTCCACAGGTCCTTCCACGGAGTAGCCCATTAGGAAATGAGTGTTTGGAATCTCCTCCCACAATTCCCCTATTCATTTTCACAATTCCTTGTTTTAACTACAATTATGGGACATTAGTATTCTAACTGGGACATACATGTGCATGGATATGTCTCTGAGATGATCTCCCAAAAATCAAGAAAGCTGCTTTTTCTAGAATAGCTCTCACACAGACTGCATTTTTGACATTATGCATCATTTCTTTCTTTTTTTTTTTTATCTTAAAGGCTTTTTGGTCTTCTGAGATCTATCATGAAAACAATCTGATATGTTATGACTTTACTTATATATTATGTAAAGTAATAGCTAGTACATGGAGCATAAAATAATAGGTAGATGTTTAAATATATTTGCCTTCCTGGGAAACTTTATTCTGAGTTCCTGGAATCTAGAAATTACTCATTCAAAGCAATTGTAGAACAAGGCTGTGAGTGCTTATCAAATGTTTATTAAATTTTAACTAAACTGAATTTCAAAGCTCATCAGAGAATAACTGAGAAGAGATAAATGCATTAAATTCTTCTCAGCCATGAAAGCCCAATGAAAGCAATGTTTTGTTTGAAAATACACACACACGCACACACACACACTAACTGAATTGACATTTATTGCAACCTAGGTTGTTGAAGGGAAAAAATAAGTAATGTAAATCAAAGTGGACACACACTCTGCATATACATTTTCCCCACTTTTCGAATTTGTTTGGAATTGATTATGGATAGTCATGGATCAATTCAAAATGTCAAAAATGAAGATTTTAAGCAGAATCATGGTGTAGTAGAAAGAATTCTACACTAAAAGTCTGGCAATATTAGTTGATTTTAGCTCATCTTGAAAAAATTATGCCTCACCTTATATATATTGGAAATGTTATGATCTTTCCAGATATATGAGTCTCTGAATTCTTATCACTGATGCTTTCATCTTAAATGACATCCTAACATTTTTGCTGGTAGACAATTTTTGTATTAATCAGCATGATAATTAAAAAATTTTATATTAACATTTGTGCTTTAGCATGAGCTAAAGGCTATTTGATTGTAAAACTAATAAATACATGAGTTATTTTGTTCATACTATCTGTTCCTGGCTATCTGAGTTTGTGCTGAATACAAGATATTCATTCCCACTTGAGTAAAATAAATTATCTGTTGGTGCTTTCAGATGTGATCCAGGGCCATGTTTATGTGTAACGTGTATAACTTCATATTGGCAAGATTATCTTAAATACGCTCTGTTTCAGTGTCAACATTTGTTGACAGACATTTGTGAAGGTCAGAAGATTTTACCCCTTGTGCTTCTGGGCAAACCAAGTTATGCTCAGGCATCAGAGGGAGAGCAAAAGTGTGGACAGAAAGAAAATAAAAGATAACAAAAAAAAGGCAGATAGAAACCAGCAAAGGCCATAAGCTAAATGAAATATGCTTTAAAACAGATAAACAGTTTGGTTGAGGGGCCTGAGTAAGTTGCGAGTAGAGAATTTCAGATTCCTTGAGCTGTTGGTTAGGAGGTGGCCTGGATTGGGAACTCAGAATCAGTATCAGCACTTGCTTCTAAGAATCTTTATACTCAGGGCTACAAAGTGGAGTGGGGGTGGAAGGGGAGAGGGGGAGGGAGGTTGGGGGATAATTGGGTGGGGGACACATGGTACAAAGGTAATTTCTGGTAATGGGTTTGCTGCCAGTATGAATCTGGACCTCACATCATGGCCATGAGGAGTGACAATTAGCTTTGTATTTCATGAATATTCATAATATAAATAAATAAATAAAATAAAGACTTCAAACTGCTTTAAAAAAAAGAAAGAAAAAATCAGATTCTAAACTTTTGTATATATCAGTAGAAAAGAGCAGCTGACTAAAAAGGGAGCACAATCTTTGAGGCTTCTGATAATTTATTATGTGAAAAAATTAAATATCTTCACTAAAATTATGAAGCTGTATCTGCATTTATAATGGAAAACAAATACTCACAGTTCATGGGAGCTGTTTGAGCATTCAAGAGATAACTTCCAGTAGGAAATTCTTTCCTGCGTACTTGTTCAATATTTATAACACTTGCTAAATAGCATTGTAAAGGCACAATAAATATTTCACTATTAAAATGTTTTTAAGGGGCCAAGCCCATGGTGCACTCAGGAGAGTACGGCGCTGGGAGCGCAGCAGCTCTCCCGCTGCGGGATCGGATCCTATATAGGGATGACCGGTGCACTCACAGCGCTCACTGGCTGAGCGCTGTGCAGACAGTCTCAAAAAGGACAAAAAAAAAAAAAAAGTTTTTAAGGGCATTATTATTACTCTAAACTATTGAAAACTATTGATTTGTCTCAAGAATACCAAATTAAACTTTATCAGCATTGCATGCATGAAAAAAGAAATGTATCTGATTTAAACATTTGTGAAATTCTTCAGATTTCTTAATGTATTCAATGAAAACAAATAAATTGTTAAAGAATGCTAAAAAAATGTGAATCGGTGGTATGTCACAATAATAATTAAAATAAGATAAATTGAGTAGATCTACACTATACCAAACTCGACAATATAAGACAGAAAAACAAAGCACTTATTATATTTGAGGTGTAAAATACTGGGAAACACATGTAATCCCGAAGATATAAAAAATTATAGATTCTGAAATTTTAAATTTTAATCCAGTCCTTTCAAACATACAATCACAGTGCATAATGTGCTTCTAAATATATTTCTATTTAATTCTCTTTATAGTAAAAACTGTTTCATATGTAAGCAGTAGCTTATTTCAGCAATTGAGCAATGACCTTAGAAAGTATGCAGCAAAAATTTGAGGTCCTAATAAGTATCTAATCAGCTCATCCGATTTTTTTAAAAGAGAATGAATTTTAAAGAAATATCACATTTTTTCCCAAGTCAATTTCTTCACAGTAAAGAAAAAATGCTACCTCAAAATTGCATGTGATTAAATAGACCTTAGAGACAAATACAGAAAAGCAATGATTGGAAAGGGTGGATTGACTATCTCATTTACGGTCTTCATCAGTTTTGTTTTGTTTTGCTTTGCAGTTGTGCAGGGTGGTCTGGGATGCCTGCATTAGCGTAGTTTTTGACAGTTCAGTTTCCAAATTTTGGTTTGGAATTTGAGCCTCAGAATCTATATTTACCAACTGTGGGTTCTTGTGTAAATTACTCAACACCGTCTGTATAATGAGAATTGTAATAGTACCTAACATATAGGGTGGTTTTAAGGATTAAATAGGATAATGCAAACAAAGGTCAGAAAAAAATGTCTGGGAAATAATAAACACTAAATAAGTTCAAAATATTAGATCTTATTATTTGTTTCCCTATATAACTTTAGTGTCACATCTTTACAATTAGTATTACATGAGTTTCCTCAAAATCCACTCTCCTTTCTAATTATCCAAAGAAGCATTCCCTGTGGGATGGATAGATTGATTAGGTCATTACTGTATATAATTATAAGGCTGTCCTGTCCTTTACCATTCACATTACTGTATGGAAATTCATTGTCTGTCTTTCTCCATACCTCATTCCCCTCTTTGAAATTTATCATTAAAACTAAATTTAATCTGAAAGATCTTTTTATAAATTAGAGGGTCAACTGGCTGCATAATGTGATGTGTCTAGCTGTAGTAACTTTATTTTTAAGACCATAAAAATGAGAAAATATTTATGTAACTAACCCACAGTTGAGAACAATATTGGCATTTTCTTCAAGATTCTGTAGATCTCATAGCCAGCAAATTTTATAATTTCTATTTCCACAGACACTAAAATGCCATTTCTAAAAAGGTGTAAGTGCAGGTTCATGAATCTAACAAATAGTTAAATTTCTCTGAAGATGAGTTTCCACATTTTGTAATAACAGGCTATTAATTTACATATCAAAATGTTATTTGATGTATATACACAAAAGAATAGAAAGCAGAGAGTGGAACAAATATTTGTACACTGATGTTCACAACAGCAAAAAGGTGAAAACAATCCAAGAATGGATAAACAAATTGTGGTATATTCATACAATGGGAAATTATTCAGCCTTAAAAAGAAATAGAATTCTGACACATGGGCTACAGCATGGGCGAAGCTTGAAGCCATTAGTCTAAGTTATGAAATAATCTAGACACAAAAGGACAAATATTTTATGGCCTCTCTTTTATGAGGTTCCTAGAACAGTCATATTCATAGAGACAGAAAGTACAAGAGTGGTTGCCAAAGGCTGGGGGGGCTAGGGAAATGGGAGGTTATTGTTTAATGGGTACAGAGTTGCACCGTAGGATGATAAAAAAGTTTTGGAGATGGGTAGTGATGATGTTTGCACAACAATGTGTTATGTATATTTCACCACAATAAAAAATAAATAAAAATACTATATACAACATAGCAATTTGTAAAGAGCTATAGTAATCCCAGCTATTATCTTTAATGTATAATGATACATTAAATTATTGTTGGATTTTCTAAATTATATAAAACAATCTAAAAAAAGTTATTTTGAAGACCATGTACAAGGGTATTTCAAAAGATTCATGGAAAGATTTGTATTATCTTTTAATTCTAATTTCCCACAGAATTTTTGAAGTACTCTCATATGTGTCTTGTTATATTGTTATGTTGCGCTATGCATTTTTCTCTAGTTCGGTATGTATTTAAACAACTCTAATACAATATCTGGAAAATAAATTGTTGTCATTGTACTTATTCTAATAATATTCTATAAAATGAAGAAAATGCATGTGCTATCTTATTCTTGGAGGTTCTGACATCAAATATTTGAGAAAGAAGGATAAAGTCTGCTTAAGAATGATAATTTATCCAAAGTTAGGATATTTTGCCCTATTATAATAGCAGTAAAGAATTTTTAAAAATATGTTACCTGGGTTTTCTATTTCCTCTTTGGTAACT